ATGCAGCATCGGGGAAGCATACAATACAACGTGCGCATATCGAGTGTTACAACTAACAACAGGCGGAATCGGTAGGAACGTAGGAAGGATGTATCCACGCACCACTCAGTTCGTCTCGCACGGTGGTCTGTTCTGGTGGGGGCAGCAGTAACTAGTCAGGAGGAAAGCCCCAGCACGGATCGCGACCCTTTCGCAAGGCAAGATCCAGCGGACGGGGTTCGGGGGAGCCTAGGACCAGCACCACGGGAAGGCGTACGCGGCAGACCAAGCCCCGGGGGGGGGGGACCGCAGCTCGGACTGGGGAGGGTGGCGGCGGACGAGGGGGGGGTGGTGCTCGGCGACCCGAGACGACGACGACGGCCCCCACGATCGAGAACACGAGGGTAGAGGGAGCGGTGGTGGTGGCGGTGGCGGTGGTGCCCCGGGGTACTTTGGGGGGCTGGTGTCTTCGCTGGGCGTGTGGCTGGGATTCAAGAGCGTCGCCCTCGAGGTGCGTTTTTTTGTGTTGCTTTCTTGTGCGCTTTGTGGGGCTTTCTGCTACCGCTGCTGCTGCTGCTGCTGCTGCTGCTGCTGCAATACTGCAGCTACGTTTGTTTCTTGTGAGTGTAATTCTGCAGTTTCGTTTAAGTTTGTTGTTGTGAAGGAGGTTGTGCATGTTTTATTTGGAAAGCAGGAGCCACGAATGCAACGAGAGCGACGCACGACGGGGTTCTTGATCGCAACAGTCAAGGGAGGGAGTGAGGGCTCACTGCTGTCTCCATTCATTGCTTTCCGCTCCCAAGCCTTGGTCGGACCCTTGGGTGATAACTTGATTGTTTCTCTTGGACCCTCCTGTCGCCTCAGGACTGTTTGGATGCCTTCTTCTCGCCGGAGCGGCTTCGCGGGGCTAACCAGTACCACTGCGATGGCTGCGGTTGCAAGAAAGAAGCAGGCGAGTGATAAAAGTAACAGGAAATTTTTTTATACATGTGCACGGGGAGCGTGCACCCCGGAGCGAGGTCGTACGGCGCTGCTCTCCGCTTCCGCCTCCGTCTAGCCCCCCCCCCCCCATGTTTCCTGGTTATGTCCGTGCCCCGTTATCTGTGCAGTGATTCCTGGTCTGTCTGCTTCCCGGTGTGTGTGTATGGTTGTGCATGTTTGGTAATTTGGGATAGACCGCGCTAAGTTGACTGCCTAGTCAATACAAAGACCTCGACCTTTTGAAGCGGGAGAAAATGTGCAGCACTCTTTGCTGCACCACGAAGCCCCCTGACCGGGAGGGAGGCCGTGGAAGAGACTGGTGTGTACGATAGAGCTTGCCTTCTTGTTTTTGACAAGACTCCCGCTGAAAGGCTTGCCAATAAACACGGCAGTCGTAGATAGCCGCATAGGGACAGAAAAATGTGTCGTCTGTGTTTCCTCGCCCTGGTTATCGTTTCCGTTTGCTTGCCTCTGACTGTTTGTATGCTCGTTTGTGTGGGTCTTCCTCTTTGTCTTGTGGGTCTTTCTTGCTATCTTCGGCAGACAAATCGACGAGTCTCCTACACGCGCCCGAGATCTTGATGCTGCACGTTAAGAGATTTCGCCGCGGCTACCTCTGGAGCCACAAAGTGCATAACAGGTCAGGCCTCGAAGGACTCCACCTTCCCCCCCAAAAGCATGTTGGTAGCCCCGCCGTGCTAGCCTTTTGCTGTTCTCTTCAACTATTTTACATGGCCGTTGCTCTCTTCTCTGTTCTTCGGTCGCGTGTCTCTCGGTGATGGTAGCGCTGGTATCGTGTCTGTCGCATCTCGCTAACTCCACTCCTCCCTGGCCCCCTCGCATAGGCCGGTTGGAACCTTTCATGCTGGCGGGCGTCTATCGTGCCGCGCATTGTGTGATGCTCGCGCCACTCATATGACAACAGACAATGACACAAGTCTGATCCCATTTCGGCAATGTGCACACACACATACACACCCTCCCGCCATGTCAACAACACAAACAGGGTAGTCTTCCCGTTGCACGACTTGGACGTGAGCCGGTGGCTCTCGGACCACGCCCTAGAGTCTTCGGTCAACCAGCAGCGCGCGTCCGGTACCAGCGGCGGGGACGCCCACCGCAAGTCCTCCGTCAGGCGCGGCTCCGCCAGCCCGGACGGCGGGGGCTACTACGGCGGCGGCTCGGCCACGGCGGCGGCGGCGGCGGCCGCGGAGAGCGTGGCCGCGGCGTTCTCGCCGTCCTCGCCGGCGCCCGTGCTGTACGACCTGGTGGGGCTGGTGGAGCACACGGGGGGGCTGGAGCACGGGCACTACACCAGCTACACTCGGGATGATGGCTCAGGTTTGCGAAGAAGTGGGGTGTGTGGGTCGAGCCTTTGTGTGCGCAGGGGTGGGCGGTTTTGGTTGATTTGTTGAGGTGGCGATGTTTGGATAATGTTGGGGGGCCCCCTACGCGACAGAAGCTCAATTTTGGGAATCTAGGTACTAGTCAGATAGCGTTCTGTCGTCACTGCTGGAAGTCTGCACGGCTCCTGATCCGCCCCACCAGCGCTTGGTGGTCCGGAGCACGTGTTGATGCACGCGACGGACGACAGGGGCACACGCAGATCGATGCAGACCAGCACGGGTATGCTCACGCCCTCCTCCTTATCCCGAAATGTGTCCGCCAACACAGAGCTTGAGGCATGTAACAAGGAGCATCGTGAAGAGGCCGCATTGTCCGCATGTGATCTGATAAGCACATGTACCTGGGCACCGGGGCAGTGATTGACCAAAGGGTAGTTTTTGAGCGCCGATACTCCGGCAACAGCAACACGTTGGCCTGTTCGCTGTGTCAAGACCTGTCGGCTGCTGGCTGCTATGATTGATGCCCGACACTGCTGTCGCTGCGTTTGTTTTGTGTCTCCACGCCCGTGCCTCGCCCTGACCATCTACCCAGTGCTCTACAATACTTTGCAGAATATTATCAGCGGTGATACATAGCTCGATCCCGGTCCCGCCCGCTTTTTGTGGCCATCTCTTCCTACCCCCCCCTCCCCCGTCTAAAACCGACCGCCCCGTCATGGTCCCCTTTTACACCTCTACCCCCTTCTACACTCTTCGCGCAAACCACACATCAGCGACCTGGTACCACTTCAACGACACCATCACGACCAAGGTCTCCCAGGATACGGTCTCCTCCGCAAGCCCGTACATCCTCGTCTACCGGCGCAAGCGGCCCAGCTCGTCGTGGGGCCCGGGGACCCAAGCCCAGTCCATGAGGCCGGGAGCGGCGCCGGCGGTAGCGGCGGCGACGGCGGCGGCGGCGACGGCCTCCCTGCTAGCGTCCGTCGGCATCGGCCCCGCGGCGGAGGAGGCGCGCGACGTCCGCAGCAGGGTGGACATCATGGCGCGGGAGATGGCCAAGGCGGCCGGCGGGGGGCACCGCCCCCCGAGTATGAACGCGGCAACCAACGGCTCTACGCCCGGGGCGGCGGCGGCAGTAGGAGGGACGATTGGGGCGGAGGCCGTCGGAGAGCCCCAGCCGAGGTTGTCCATAGGAGGCGGCGGCGGCGGCGGCGGCGGCGTGAGCGATACGGATGGGGAGGGAGGCGGGGGGGCCGGGCGACGGGCTAGCGTTACTCGACGGCGAAAGGGCCGGGGCCGACGGCCGGGGTCCGAGTCGGAGAGCGAGGGGGGCACCGGGGGCTCGAACTCGTGGGTTTAT